GTCTCCTACCTCTAACCCTGCAGGAGACGGGGCCTACGGTTTATTCGTCCTTCTCCGAGAAGACTAGAATATCTATCCATTTCTTGATATTAAAGAAAGGTAGTAAATTCTCCTCAGTTATTTTAAGACCATGAGTATTGGTCCAGTTAGTCCTTAACCATAACTTAAAACAACCCACAGAAAAATAATTGAAATGGTCATCATTTTAGATAAATGGGATTTTTTTCCATTCACCCAGTGTTGCAAATGTGCAACATAAATGCAATCTTGATCCACAAAGAATCAGACTTTCAAATAGAGTGTACACAATGTTATACAAAATTTTTGGCTTGCATCGTACAGCCAAAAAAGGTTTTTCTTAGAGACAAATCAATCAATTTGCCTGGTGTAGATTTAGTATCTATATGTACTACAGTGTATTTGTCAGTTTTACTGCAAATCTGCAAGAATTTAAGAGGCTGTGCATGGAATTCCAAATAACTTAACAACAAAATTTCAGTGTTAAATATTTTGCAGATTATACCTTTATCAGGATTTATGAGATCTCATTTTGGCCATGTAAATGTAAAATCATATCACATTGTATCAGAATGACAACAATAGAAGTCTTAATTTACATAAATGTATTGCCACAAAACTTTAAGTTTAGTGTAAAGTGATAACAACTAAATGGTAATAACTGCCAGGTGCTACTCTCTAACTGATATGATATGATTTGATATGATTTTTATTTAACTCAGCTTGGTTTTTCAGGATATGTAGGTTAAATTTACATAGCAACTAAACACAGTACAGCAAAGGAATAAGGAAAAAACATCAATTTCTTTGAGATATAGCAATTTAGATATTGGTATGTAAAATGGCTTATTCGGTTAATAAAAACCCTCAAAAACAATGGCATCACACAACCTGGGCGTGTCCACTACTGCCAATCTAGATTTGGATTCTTATAGAACTATGTATAAGCTTTCATTAAAAGTAAGTTTGGCTCTCATATTTTGAATTTGAAAATCTGTCAAATTGTCATGTCTCATGTGGAATAGCCCCAAAGTATACATGGAAGGACAAACTGGAAGTTAAATTGAACTTACCAACTCGAACATCAATTCCATCAACCCTTGTCTTGTACTGAAAGAGTGTAAGGGCATACGTTGAGAGCTGCTGGGGTTTACTGCTATAATTAAGGACACTATTTTCATCAACTGACAGACAATACACCAGTAAATTATCATGTGTATTAAATAAAAAATTACAGCGCTGACTAAGGAAATTTGGAGGTCACATGCATTTTGCTTTGCAGACACTGATACTTCAATTATAAACATTTCCAGTTAATGAAACTTGACTAGCAAACATTACCCAATTGTAAAAGTACTTCACATGTAAGTAAGAGCTTCTATTATTGGAAGCAAAACAATCAAAAGCACCCATATTCAATTTGGGAAATACCTGATCAGAAAAAGCTCACTTATGTAATGAATGTCACTAAGCAACAGAACGTCAAATTGAACATTCAGGTAAACTGTACCATGAAATTTCATAATGATTCAACGGTGTACAAAGAAGGTAAGTCCTAGGTTCATATATACCGTACTGTACATTTGTTCTTGTATTAAGAACTTTTCCTTGTATTCAGCAATAATACTAAGTAAGCTTCGCATACAAATATAACAAATTTTCAAGTGCAAGGCAATATATCTATCTGGTTATTAAGTGATGATGAAAGCCATTTGAGAATAACAAGATTGCTGAAGGCCTAAAACAGTTCTCCGGAGAAAATCTCGCTACATATTTATCGCGAGAGGTGGGGTCAAAACTGAAAAGAGAAAACAGCATTGCTTTAACAAATAGGGTTAGAAAATCTCAATTTAAAAATATTGCCGGATAACCACTGTTACTTGATAACTGAAAAAAATTTGGCGAGCAACCAGCTTCCGTATAAATAATCTAAAACTGAGAACACATTGCTCTCAACATCTTCGACCAAATCAAAAAAAATTTTTCAGAGTTGCTAGGGTATGGTGACAATTTTGACACCTAGGTAACAAAATGCATTAAGGATACTATCCATCCATCAGAAATCTCTCCACCAATCTGAAAAGGAAATAATGTCACAAAAATTAGCCGGTTTGTCGGACGCTACCGTTTCCTGCAACGCAGCAAGATCAAGTGAACGAGACGAAAGATACCACACAGCCTGCCTTACTTTGACTTCCCTACAGCACTGTCTCCTAAACAAATAACTTTGACGGTACCATCGCTACTCCTAATATCGCTCGTTTCGTTTTCATGATTCACAACTACATCATTAGCCGCCATTTTCATTCCAAGCTTCGCAATACCCGTCATGCCTCGCGATTATGCAATCCTTCCCTGCCTCACTTTCGTAGTGTGTTGCTTAGCAACTAATTGAACAGCTGGCCGAACCTCGATTTTTCAAAGGAGAAATAATTGAAAATTATAAACAGATAAAATTTAATCAGTGCGGAAACAAAATAAACTGGCACCTTATTAGAAAAAGTTAAAACATTAAAAAAAAAAAAAAACTTATGAGGCTGTCTCTAAATTTATAAAAATTCTTCAGTTGGAACTACATCAAAATGACATCAAATGAAATACTACATCAAATGAAAAATCCACTTATATAGAACACTCCTTAAAAATAAGAATAACGTTCATTTAAGCTCCTTAATTAGATTTTCTACCTCAGCTGCATTGGTTTACAAAATAAAGGGATGACAGCTGAAATTAAGAATTCAATATTTGATTGAGTCTTTGTAAAAATGGAAGATTTGGTAGAATAAATCTTGATCTCCCTGTAAAATAAATATTAGGCAAGAGATGATAATCTCCCGTCATGGGCTGGGAAATGGTGACAGTTGAAATATATCTTTTTAATCACAGAACTTGCCGAAAAAGAGATTATCATTTCTTCTGTCGGTACTTATTTCGGAAACCAACATACCCAAATGAAAATAAAATGGGTTCATTTCCGATTTTCTATGTTTGTTGATGGTTTATATTTTGGCTCATTCGATGCTGTTGTAAAATTAGTCAAACAAGAAATTTCAAACACTCGTTTCGCAATTTTGCAAACTGCTTGGAGTCTGTTTGCTCGTAGTCTACTTTCATATATGCATTAAAACTTTGATTTTTTTTTACCGCTCGCTGTAGTCGCGCGCTGAAAACAAAACAGAAAGACATCGGGCTGGCAACGACTATGCATTGTCTCATGATTCTTTTTATCCCCTTTTTGATTATTTTGAAGGAGTTCGGCTCTTAATTCATGCTCTGAGTATATCTCAAGGTTTATATGTACTATCAGCAACAACAATAAAATCGTAAGAGATGAATACTCTCAAATATCATTTCTCGCCTGCAGACGATAGAAAGGCCAGAAGCTAAGAAAGAAGCAGATGGTTGAATCAACTTTTTCAGGGGCAGACTGACCTAAAACGAAAACAAGCAAAGCCACAAAAAGTGTGACCTTTGATCTTACATTGTACTATCCAAATTTGCAATGCAAAAACATTTCTTTTTCGGTTTACGGTAGTTAGGCCGTTAACAAGAAGCCAGAGACCTGGCAAATCTGAAAAAATACGGAAGAAATTACGAAAAATTGGGAGCTATCCTACGAATAAAAAAAAAAAAAAACATTAGTCTTAAAWRKAAKC